GAATGTAGTTTGCTGTTAAATTTCTATATCAATGGATTTGCCAGGTACATGCCCCTAAGCGCTAAAATAATACAAGCAAATGGGGATAAAATTGCAATTTGCATGCATTAAAACGGTTTTTGCGAAGAATGAAGATTACTGTTAAAGTAATAAAATAAATATTTTCTTGTAATAAACGTTTTATTAAATAAATAAAATAAAAAATACAGGCTACAATATTTCCAGACTATTACATTTTATTTTATTTGTTTTAACTAAATATAAAAAGTAATCTTAAAATTGCATTTTATAATTTAAGTAAATACATTTAACGTCATAAAACAAAATATAATCACAATTTCTGACATTTTTAAGATAAGAAAAACTTAAAATAAAATCTCTTGCTAAGAGTCCAAAAACCCATCCTATTTTTGGTCTATTGAGCATTTGATGGAAAGCTTTACTCTATTAAACGCACCTGCATGATGTTAATATTAAGTGACTAAAATAAGCTACAGAAATAACGCATCGACCTAAAATTTTACCATTTTTTAATTGGCCACATCATCTTTGGTTGTTCAGTGCTGTGTAAGCTGATCTTTTTACTTTAAATAAAGATTGTTGATTTATTAATATTATCTACAGGAAGAATGGCTAGTTATCTTTTTTTTAAGATTACAAATCAAGGTAATAATAATTATAATATATTTATGTACTATATGTATATGATTAGTACATGTATATATGTGCATTGTGTTGCAATGTTAAAAATACAGATAAACTAAAAACTAAACCTAAAAACTAGAAAGTCTTATAAGTTCTAAGCGATTTGGTGTTATTTTAATTTAGTTTAATAACGATTTCGGAATAATGATATTTTATTAAAAAATATTTTATTGAACGTTAAACTTGGAAAATACTGGTTTACAAATATATTATATTTAAAATTTAATAATTAGCGATTTACTTGACTACCAAGTAAAATACTAGTAAAAATATTTAAATTTAGCCATTTTTTGCTAAAGATATAAAAAAATTGGGGGTAGTATTAATGAAACCAAAAAGACACCCAACTTATTGCTATGGGATATTATCCATATAGAGTCAATCCATATAAAAAAGCCGAAACTCGTTGCTCGACCATCTTGGATTTTGCTCAAATTTTATAGAAATATTTATTACGGCGGCTGAAGGACTACGGTCAATAGCCTTTGAACTTGGTTTTAGTTCAATAAAGCAATATTATTATTATTTATTAGGGTCCCATAGGACAAAATCCACACTTATTTAATTTTTCGCATGTGTCAAATCCGGCCTATTTAAATTAAATCTTTTTAAAAACGTCATTTTTATGCTTTAATAATTTAAGCTGTAATTTTTTTTCTATTAAAGATATTTTAAATTTTAAGATGTTTTAAAGCCAGAAAATAGTAGTTTTTATAAAAAAATATAAATTTACTCAATCAATATTTCTAATTAATTACATGGTGCTAAAAAAACGTGTATTTTATAAATTTTTCGTGTTTTTTAAATGCGTCCCATGTCTCGGCTGTTTAATATGAACAGTTAATTTTGTTTATATATTAAGTTTACATACCAAAGACAAAATAAAACTTACAATTGACCCGTTTGGCATACGGTTTCCAAACTAAAAATTGCTTAAAATTTTGAAACTCTAGAAAATCGCATTATTTAGGCCATTATGGATGTTGACTTTTAAAGCCCATCTAAAAGCAAAATGGATTAAAATATCAAAACAAGTTAAATAGGCATTTAAACTTCAGGGACTAAATATCCTGTTAATTTCATATTTCTATATTGAAGTCATAAAATGAATAAAATAATGCGACTTTTTATTATTTCAATATTTTTCTCCTTTTAAAGCTACTGCAGTTATACATGTATAACCTTTAAAGATAAAAATAACAAAACCAAACTACCAGGCATTTGAACATTAAGGTAGGGGCTAATTATCCTGTAAATTTCATATTTCTATTTGGAAGTCAACATCCCCATATAATGGCCTAAATAATGCGATTTTCTAGAATTTTAAAATTTCAAGCAATTTTGTTTTGGAAACCGCATGCCAAACGGGTCAATTGTAAGTTTTATTTTGTCTTTGGTATGTAAACTTCATATATAAAAAAAATTAGCTGTTCATATTAAACAGCCGAGACATGAAACGCATTTAAAAAAACACAAAAAATTAGTAAAATACACGGTTTTTCAGCACCGTGTAATTATTAGAAATATTAATTGAGTGAATTTATATTTTTTTTTTATAAAAACTACTATTTTTTGACATCTTAAAATTTAAAATATCTTTATAATAGAACAAAATTACAGCTTAAATTATTAAAGCATAAAAATTACCTTTTTAAAAAGTTTTAATTCGAATAGGCCGGATTTGACAAATGCGAAAAAATAAATAAGGGTGGATTTTTTCCTTTGGAGCCCTAAAGAACATTTCTATAAAATTTGAGCAAAATCCAAGATGGTCAAGCAACGAGTTTCGGCGTTTTCATATGGATTGACTATAATATTATGGATATGGATAATATATATTATGGTATTTTCAAAAGAATATAAAATATTTCAAAATTAAAGTTAAACATGTGCGTCTATAAGAAATATTTTGTATAGTAGGATGTTTATAACTTTTTCGTTACGTCATCATATATGTATATTAGGGTGTCCCTTATTTTTTATTTTTTTACGCATACCCTCTAATTATATTTATTACGTGTTTATATACTCCCAGTAAAAATTTCAGCTCATTCTATAAACGGGAACCCGTGCCGACTTGCATCTGAACCCTCCATTAGCCAACGTTAGGCGCGCGGTATTTTGTAACACGGTTGGCCGCTAGGTCTTTGATCGTAAGTCATTTTGTGTTTGTTATTATGTGACCCTTATATTATAAATTATTAAAAAATGTTAAAATATAGTTTTATTTATGTGTATACTTTAATAAAAATGAATATTTTTACAGGAAGTGGCTAGTTACCCGGAAGTGTCGGGTGAATAGGCCGTAAAACTAATTACCCGAAACTCTTTTTTTTATTATATCTGAATGACAGCTAAAAAATAACCAAAAAAAAATTAGTTGATTTTATCCCTTAAATATATTAATATACTAATTAGTATTGCTAAAATATACTGTTATATGAAATTTCAGCTTTTTATAAGCATTTCTTTTCTTGATGTCCTCCCAAAAATATTTCAGACAGTTTTCGATAGTCATCTCTCACAATAGACTCTTTTAGTTATTTAGAGTAAATCCCATTAAGTTTATCAATTTCAGAGTTTACGGCATATTCACTAGACCCTTCCGGGTAACTAGCCACTCCCTGTGAAAATATACATTTTTATCAAAGTATACACATAAATAAAACTATATTTTAACATTTGTCAATAATTTATAATATAAGGGTCACATAATAACAAACACAAAATGACTTACGATCGAAGACCTCGCGGCCAACCGTGTTACAAAATACCGCGCGCCTAACGTTGGCTCACGGAGGGTTCAGATGCAAGTCGGCACGGGTTCCCGTTTATAGAATGAGCTAAAATTTTTACTGGGAGTATATAAACACGTAATAAATATAATTAGAGGGTATGCGTAAAAAAATAAAAAATAAGGGACACCCTAATGTATATGTATACATATTACATTATAACTCAGCAGGAGCGCAGGCATACTTTAATATGGACGTATGTTTACTGATAAAGTACTTACACCAATGATTTTTGGGTTGCATGCCCATACTCAACATTTATCCTTAAATGAAATTCAGGTTCAACAGTTGATTTTATTTACATGCTTTACAGTGATGACTTAACAGACAAGTTAAGTTAAAATCCTACTTTAGTAGTATATTTGAATCCTCTGGTATCAAAACACCTTAAATCCATGTTTAATAAAGACAAAATAATAAAAATTTTATTATGTCAATTTAAACAATTAAAATTAAACTATCAGGTCTGGAACATCTTTTACCATTTCGCACAGATTACTAAGTTCCGTTTCATATTTTTCATTAATTTGTTTAATTTCTTTTTTTTTAAGGTACTTTTCTAAAACTTGTTTTTAATAGTCCAATTTTTCCAAATCTTCCCATTTTGACCCATAATGTTTTGTTAGGAGCGTTGCGACGTAATTAAGTTTTAATTAAATTTTTTGGAGGTATTCCGCTTTCTAATGGAAGTGGATTTAGGGCATCCAAACATTTTCCTGGTTTGCATACAGATTTATATATACCCAGATCAGACAAGTAACTTTGTTCGCTTCTTATCCTTACAGTGTTATTCTTTCCACGCTTCAAAATAAACCTTTTGGACATATTAAATTAAAAATGCCATTTTGACGGCGGGTTTAAAATTTCTTTAGATGCAGATTTTCAGTCCATAACAGTTACATATTTGGCAAAGATTCTTTGCCTAATTTAACTACTGTTCCGTGTTGCTTAAATATGTCTATATATTTATTAGGTTCCACTATTTGCTCCTTTTTTCTTATCACTTTTTCAATACGAGCGAATAATCGGTCTGGAGAAATATATGGCCAACGACCGGAAAGAACAGTTTCATTTCTTTAACGGACGAATTGCTTAACCACTTTAAGCACATAGCTAATATTATGGTATTCTTATTCTGGCCTCCGCATCCGTCGACCATCTCACTTATATATAATATATATTAGGGTGTCCCTTATATGGGTGAAATTTTTTTTTCAGATATCGAAATGCATACCTCTTAATTCTTTTTAAACTACCTAGACTAACTCAAATACAAAATTTTATCTTCCTATGTCAACGTTAACCCGTGCCGACAAAGCCGTGAAGATTTTGAAAATCGCTGTCTTTAATGCTTATCCTTGTGTAGCTAAATGAAATGAAATGTTTGAAATGTATAAAAATAAAATTAAAAGAAAAAGTTAGAAAATAATTAAATAAAAGAACATCACAAATCAGCAAGGATATTTTCTTTTAAGGGTCGCTGTTTTAAAGTCTGGATACAGATTTCTATGCTCTTGTACACTTTCTTTTGCAGTAATTAAACCATGAAAATCTTGCATAAGTTTAACAGCTCTTTCAGCTGTATCATTCACAGCCCTTAAAGAAAGAAGCCTTATTTTTGCCTGCAACATCTTCTTCCCATGTAGAAACGGGTTTCTTTAAGAAGTTTTTATCAATGTTTAAACGAGAAAATAAATTTGTGCTCTTGACAGACAAAAAATCATTTAATGATTTTCCTACAACAATAGTCAAGATATTATTATTATTATTAATATTATTATCAGTTTATCCAGAAGGGTATAAGAGATAAAACTATGTATTTCCACTTACCATACAAATAATCAGACATATCTTCTTTCGATGGAATGTATCTCTTCACAGAATCATACAAACTCTCTCTTTGTAAGTTCGCTACAATATTTGCCTTGTTTGTTCATCTACTTCGTCATCAATGAGTGAAAAAACAGTAATTTCTTCTGACAAGTACCAAAGATGTTTACTAAACTTGATCAGGGCTGCTTCGGAGATCTCTTCGTTAACAGTTTTATATTCTTTAAGCCTCTTTAAAAAGCGCAAATCTTTTTTTGGTGCCTTGACCGCCAGACTACATCCAAGCCATGGTTTTACATATATAACCAAAATGAATAAACAAATATCTTGAAGTGCTCGTTTATCCTTGGCGTTAATTTTGAACTAAGATTGCAACAAACATATTTTCAATGATTAAATTGCTCTAGCCATCCACCTTGCTCGATGCATTGCTCCAGGAGGTCTTATTTTAATTTTTTTCTCATTATCTCCTCCCAAAAAAATAATAGATAGTTCAATCAGTTCCCGATAATCGTCACGTACAATGGATTTTTGCAGTTCTTGATTATAAAATGTCAACAATTCTTCAATCATTGTTTTAGAAAAATTTTGGGTGACGATGTCGGTGTATGTTTGAATAGCAGCAGGATTAATAGTTTTCCCGTTGTCTCTAAACTTTTTGAACATCGGAATATCAGGGCTACTTGTAATTTGGTGGATTTTTGTTTCAAATACACATTTTAAAACCAGTTCGTAAACGTGATGGCGGCAAGCAATGAGTAATAATTCCCAGTCTAGTTTTTGTTCCAAAAGTACACAAGCACCTTTCAATCGCCCTGTATTAGATTCAGTTGTGTCACAGCACATTATTTGTACTTTGTCCTCGAGTTTCCAGTTATAAAGTGCGGTTAAAACAGCTTTAGCTTGATCTTGACCGGAAGAGCTCTCCAGTTTGGGCACAGCTAAAAGTTGTTCCTTTTCTCCAAACGAAATAAGAATTGACAGGCGTTCTTTTTTAGAACTTCTTACGTCTAGTCCGGGTAATAATTTCCCGTCCCAGTGAACCGTCACCGTTTCAGGCAAATTATTTTGAAAATCTGATTTTATAGCATCCGCTCTATCTTTTCTACTCTGTGTGCGAATGCGTTGAATAGACGATTTATTTTGCGGGAAATCATCACAGCTAATATCTAGGGCTTCTACTACAGCTTAAAGTATATAAACAGAATCCATTATCTAAAGCTGCAACTAACTTAGGAGTGATGAAGTCTTTCCTTCCTCTTTTTGAAGTTGTTACAGAACCATTTGAGATGTCGATGGCAAGGGTTCTTCAAGGCTGTCATCAGAGCTGGTAGGTTGATCGGGATTTTCTTGCGTTTCGATAAAATCTTCTGTAGTTAGAGATGACGACAAACTCTCGGAACACATTTGCTCATGTCTTTTTTTCTCTTCTTTTAATTTTCTCTGTCTTGTTCTTTCTTCTTTCTCGGCTAACTTTTTATCTACGCCCGCTAAACATCCTGGACGCCCTGGTTCTCTTTGTTTTTGTAAAAAGATTTTATCTTCTTCTATTTTCATCCATTCCAAAGCATTTGCGTGTGCTATATCAAATAAATTATCTAAATTGTTTTGAACGTCCTCCTCACGGCGCTTGTAAACATCTTGCGTTTTTTGGAATTTTTTTGTAACTCTCTCTAAGCACGGTGAAGATCCACAAGTTTTTTTACACAGTTAGGCATAGCTGTGGTAGGGATTCTAGCTTTTTTCCAGAATATAATACACTCTCGAACGACAATATTTGCGCTTTCATTAACAGTCAATTTAACTTCGCGAATGTTAAAAAAGAGGACTGCAAGAACTTGACGATTAGACGGTAACTTTGCTCCAGTTATTTGATAATTTACGTCACCAACTAAGAAAATACTTTTTTTATTGCTTTTTAATGTCACTGCCATTTTTTTAACTTTAAAACAATATGTTAATCACGAGACTTACTGAGAACAAATGACAAATACGGCGAGTACGCGCCGCTAGTTCCGCGTAACTTGTATGGACATGTTTCGATGCAAGTCGGCACGGGTTATCGGTCTCCAAATGAGGTAAAAATTTATTTATTTAGTGTTTTAGGAACAAATGAACAAAATTAAGATGTATGCGTTAAAAAATTAAAACTTTGAAAAATAAGGGACATATATATATATATATATATATTAGGGTGTTTCATTTAAATCGAAAAATTTTTTTTTCTTGCTGACACATAAAAATTTTGTTTTTTAGGTTGAAAAAAAAATTTCCTAAAAATTTGAGCCCTTAACTTTTATTCTAAGTACTTTTTAATTTTGTAGTTTTTCCATATAAAAAGCATGTATTTTTAATCATTTTTACTTTAAATTTCTATATTTTGGCTGGGTTTTGAATTATAATTTTTTTCACCATAATTTACTGCATACACTGAGAAAAAAGTTTATTGCTCCCAAATAAAAAAAATATTTAAATATGGGACAAGGGTACAGTTTATTTATCCTAAATATATTTTTATTCCCGACACATAAAGTTTTACTGAAGTATATTTATCGTTATTATTTCGACTATTTAGAGGTAATAAACAATATATTCACTATTAATAAAATTATTAGCTACACAGTTTATTTGTCCCATTTTTTTCTGTGTAGTATTCACAGTTTTTGAAAGGCCCTGCATCAATTTTGTTTTTGATTTATTTACGTTGATTGTAGTAGCTCCAAAAGTCGTTTTTTCACTTTTTCTCACATATTTTTGAGAAAATCGAGCGAATGACTGGTTTTACCAAAAAAGTTCAAATAAAAAAGATGTAGGAAATTTAATTTTTGACAAAAAAGGTTGTTACGTTCATATCACTTAAGTGCTTTGTTTAAGAGATATAAGCAATTCAATAACCAAAAACAAAGACAAAATAGGTTTTATTGAAATTTATGTAATTTGATTTAACAACTATATATTGCTTATATCTCTTAAACAAAGCACTTTAGTGATATGAACATAACAACCTTTTTTGTCAAAAATTAAATTTTCCACAACTTTTTTATTTGAACTTTTTCGGTAAAACCAGTCATTCGCTAGATTTTCTCAAAAATATGTGAAAAGAGTGAAAAAACGCTTTTTGGAGCTACTACAATCAACGTAAATAAATCAAAAACAAAATTGATGCAGGGCCTTTCAAAAACCGTGAATACTATTCAGAAAATTATGGTGATAAAAATTATAATTCAAAACCCGGCCAAAATATAGAAATTTAAAGTAAAAATGATTAAAAATACATGCTTTTTATATGGAAAAACTACAAAATAAAAAGGAAGTACTTAGAATCAAAATTAAGGGCTCAAATTGTAACGAACGGGGCATGGGGGGCACACATTAATAATTAAAAAGAATATTAAAACCACAAAAAAACTACCTTTGGCCAAAACACGTGATCGTCTAGTTTAAAGAAATTAATTTAGGACCCCTTTTTGTTGTGAATACGGTTCTGGATACGTAAGTACTTGAGCAATTGAAAAGATATTTAAAAAGCAAAGAAAAAGTATTAAATTAAAATAAGTTTATTAATAAAGGCAATTAATACAAGAGTTAATTATTGTTACTGTACATTAATAATATAAATAAAAACATTTGTATTTGAAAAGTATGATTGATTTAAGTTAATAAGGTAAAACCTTAAAAACCCACATATACAATACAGACATGCATATATGTCGCACATCTCAACAATATAAATAATACAACAAAATCAAAGTAATCAATATGAATATAATAAATTATATTATCATATTGCTAAGATTATTCACCTACATAAATGGTAGGCTCGGACGGTGTAGAAAAGCAAATACACATTGAAATAATTATCAATGTACAGCAAAAACAACAATAATGTGAAACATAAAGTATAATATAACTTAGGTCACAAGCAACAATAATAAATGGTATTTGTATAAATTATATCTATATATAAATAACAAGTGGTGTAGTGGTGGACAAGAGTTATGTAATAAAATTGTACAGCCATAAATAACAAATACAATCAGGTATAATCAAGTAATAAAAACATGTCAGTGCAAATCAAATATAGCAAAATAAAATGATTATCAATAATAATAGAATAAGATCATAAAACAACAACTTCATATCAATATCCCTATCTAACCATTCTTTGTCTAAATTGGTTAACTGGCATTATTGGCCATTGGGTGCGCCTGTCAAAGCAGAGCTGTATCCACCATCCTATTACCAGCAACCGGCAACAAAGTTCCCTAACTAAATAACTCATTTGATATGCAGAACTTGAAACAAGTCTCACCATATTAAATAATGAATATCAATTTATCAAATAAATAAAATAAGATAAACTGTACAAAATCAAGTATGTAAATGTTAAATATAAATATGTAGTAAAATGTATAATTACATTACAATATAATATGTTAAAGTAAATGTAATATAACTATAAATATAATAATTATAAACATAAACTAATGATTATGATTTGGTTGTCCAACCACCAACATTAAGATAAAAACAATTCAGCTTATTTCTTCTCTCACAAAACAAACAAGTTGAAATAATAATAATAAAATATAGTTTAAATTAAATATTAAATAATTAACCACTCATTATGATATTTGTGACCTCAGATTATAATAACTAAATATAGAAAAGACATACCTAAATAAACAACACTTTCACTAAACTGAATTTATACAAAAAAACAATGTAATATTTGTTAAATTCACTCCCTGATAAAGTTAAAGAATTTAATAGTAAAACGTCACTCTCCCTTCAAAATGCA